AACCCCCGGGTCTGGGCCGCGCGGTGCGGGCGCAGTCCCGTCTCCCGCTGTGCAGTCCACCGCACCTCCCCGCGGCCAGGGTGGAGCCACGCACCCGTACCTTTGGGGAGAGGCGGCGCCCCCGCCCCAGGGTCCACGGGCTCTGAGCTCCAGGCCCAGGGCGGCGCTGCCTCTCCAGGGCGCCCGGCGGCCAGCCCGCTTGCTGGGCTCGCCAGGGAGGGCATGCCCGGCGCTCCGCTAGGCCCACGTCGGCTGCCAGGGGCGCGCACAGGGGTGCCGCGCGGCGCAGAGGCCCCGGCCCCTCGGGCGAGGCGCGCTGCGAACCTGGCGGCGCGGTCAGGGTGGTGGGCGGGGGCGGCAGGCAGGCTGCCCGGCCACCCACAATCGCCGCCTCCCTGAAACCCGAACCACTTCTGAGAAAACTCAAGGACGCCAGGATTCTTTCCTCGGCGGCCAGCAGGACTCCCGAACCACGAGTTCGAACCAAACCCTGAGGCTGAAGCAGAAATCTCCTAGGTTTTGAGAATCCAACCTCCCACCCTGAATCCGATGGGGTGTGTGTGTGTGCGGTGGGGGGTGGTATTAGCCATTAACCCCACCGCCCACAACTCTCCCTTTAAAGGCATGAGAACTTTCTAGATCAGGTGATCTGTGCCCCCTCCACTCAGGGCACTTTCGGTTTTCGCGATTGAAGTGCTACCAGCATTTAGCAGGTAGAGGCCAAGGGATACTGCTAAACATCCTACAATGCACAAGATGCCCTCCACCCCGCCCCCACACACACACACCAAAGAATCACGGGGTCCAAACTGTCAACAGTGTCAAGGTTTAGAAACACTGCTCTAGAATGAGGTCTACCCAGCCAGGATCCTGCCTGAGGGCTGTCTACCCAGTGTCATTCTCAAAAGTACTACCCAGCCCAGCTCCCCCCGACCTAAGCCCCCAGATCCCAGGCCCTGGTAACAGGTCAGTATCTGCAAGTAGATCTAAACTCTGACCTGATGTCTCTTGGTCCTCACTTGCACTACCCTAAGCTCCCAGGTAGGAGTACACAGGCACTCAGGGGAGGGCTTCCTGAAGGAAGGGGCGGGGGTGAGGGGTGGATCAGGGGTGGCATGTGAACACTGGGCAGGGTCACAAAAGGCAGAAGGAAAGGAGAAGTCATGCCCAGTGGCTAGAACAGGGTAGGTGGAGGCAGCAGTGTGGGAACTTGCCCATTGCACAGGCCCCGGCCAGGACTGGTACAATGGGCAGGGCAGCCAGGGCAGACAGTCCTTCATGGAGTCCAATCCAGGGGGCCATAATTAGCTGGTATCAGTACAAACAGCGAGTGTGCACAAAGTATGCACATACTCTCACATGGGTTCTCTTTCTTATTTGCATTTATTTTCTGGGAGGAAAGGGTCCACAGCTTTCATGAGATTCTCAAAGGGGCCCATGGTGTAGGATGGGCACTCTTCACTGGGCCCCCTAGAAAGGAAGTTCCTTAGGCGAAGTGCCAGGGGAAGTCCAGGTGCTATTTGGGAATTGAGATGCCCAGAAAGACCCTGCAGAGTAGTGCACCACAGCAGCCCACCCAAGCTGTGGGAGGCCATGGGGTTCCAGATCTTATGTCTTCACCCAGGTGGAGAGCCAGGGAGTCTGGGTGAGTTTCTTACATCATCTACCTTGGAAGCATCTCTAAGAGCTGAGGAGGGTGCCCACTCCTCCCAAAGGGCAGCCCAGCCAGCCAGACAGGGCAGAGTCTGGAATTCTTAGCAGGTACAAGGACAGGTAGCAGAGGACACCCTTCCCTGGGGAAGGGCACCAACAGCCCATGACTCTGTGGTCCGTGTCCTTGACACCTACCACTACACTGGGCCTGAGGGTCACTTCACTCATTCCACATACACTTCTCCCCTGAGGAAATGGACAGTATCTTTGAGTCAGAGAGAAGCCCACCTATGAGGACAGCTTGGAGCAGTCAAGGCCTGCACTTCCCAATGTGACAGACAGGAATCAGGTCCTCCTCCCCAGCCAGAGGCTCCTGACATTTCACTCAGAACACTCTCCAACACACAGGCCCTGATCTAAACCCCAAGTACAGAGACAGATGTCAGGAGTTCTTGCGGGATATACAGATGAGTGTCTGGGATATCCACTGCAAGGCAAGAGCCAAATGACTTGTTTCCCAAGGACACTGGGTCTGGCACAGAATACAGAAGATGTGCAAAACTAACTAACACTGATCTTGTAACAAGTACCCTGTACCATTATTGCAGCATCAATTCTGCCTTTTCTTTTAGGCCTGCACCATCCAATACGGTAGCCACTAGCCAAATGAGACTACTGAGCATCTGAAATGTGCAAAGTCTGAATTGAGATGTTCTGGAAGTATAAAATACAGGGTGGATTTTTATGACAGTACAAAAATTGGAGAATGTCTGTTTTAATATTGATTACAAGTTGAAATGATTATTTTATATACATTAGGTTAAATTAAATATACCATTAAAGTTAATTTCACCTTGTCACCGACTGAATGCATCCCCTCAAAATTCGTACGTTGAAACCCTAATGCCCAATGTGATGGTATTTGGAGACAGGGCCTTTGCAAAGGGTTAGACTGGTTCATGAGGGTGGAGCCCCCATGATGGGGTTAGTGGAAGAGGAAAAAAAAACCCACAATCCCCCCACCTCCCCACCCCAAGCACCAGGTAAGCCCATGTGAGGATGCAGTGAGAAGGCAGCCATCTGCAAGCCAGGAAGAGGACCCTCACCAAAACCTGACCATGCTGTCACACTGACCTCAGACTTCCAGCCTCCGGACTGTGAGAAAATAAGTTGTTGTTTAAGTCACACAGTCAGCCCAAGGAGACTAAGACACACACCTGTTTCTTTTTCCTTTTATTAACATAACTACCAGAAAAATTTAAAGTTATATGTGTGGTTCACACTATATTTCTGTTGGACAGTGCTGTTCTAGATCCTCCTTCTACAAGGGCACTGTGTGCTGCAGGGGGGGGTGGTACTTCTAAACAGCAAGCCAGGAACTTGAAGGAAGGGTATCAAGGAAGTCAAAGGAGCAGGAGGGCCAGCTCTGCTCCCACCTGGGCCTGTCGAGGCTCTTCCCATAGTTCTTCACAAGTCAGGGCAGTGGCCACCAAAGGACTGGCTGGTGTCACCACTAGAAACACCCAGTGACCCCCACTTTCCTTCAGGGCAAGAACACAGGTTGGTGGACTCTGTCCTAACTCTGGCTGCCCCACGTTGCCAGATGCACTGCTGAGCACTGCCCAAGCCAGGGAAGAGGAGGGAAATACAGTCCTTCCAGGGGCCCAATCCCACCCTGCCCCGCATAATCAGGGAGGGACCTGAGGGACCTGAGACTGGCCAAGCCAGACAGAGATAATCAAGGAGAGGGTTTTGGTCTGAGGCTGTCCTTGTCCTGGGAGGAGGCCCCCTCTGCAGACATGGTCTTGGAAAAGCCCAGCACCTACAGGAGGGATCCACAGACAGTCAGGTGAGCTGCTGCGTGCCTAGTAACTCGTCTGGCTGCAGCTCTTCCCTCTAGAGGCCAATGCCTTCCTTTCACTTCAGAGATCTCATTCTTGGGGAAAAGCAGCTCAAAGCAGCACTTAAAAGGCAGAGAAAGGAACAGGTTCAACACCACCAACTCTCGGCATCTACGACACAGGAAATGTCTCCAAAAGATCCATGACACCCTTTCCATGTTGTGCTCAGGTACCAATAAGGGGTCTCTATCCGCTGGTCGCTGCACTCAGGCTACGCAGCTCCAAAGCCCCACTCGGAGAACTCACTTGCCTTCGGTGCAGACAGCTAAACCCTGCTACACTGCAAAGGAGGCGCGTAGAGTGGGAGTGGGGATGAGTTGGAGATGCGCGTTCCCCACCCACTCAGCAGCCGGGGGATCCCAGCCCCGCCCCTGCACGCCCGGCCCCGCCCTTCGCGGGTTTCCCAGACTTTACGCTGCTGCCACCGCGGGCGTCTGGGGACCCGCGCTGCATGTGTAATGGGGGCTGGGAACAAAGACGCGCAGGACAAGGCTCCCGGGCTGCAGCACACCGGCCTCTAAGACCGCCCCGGGCTTCTCCCTGGAGCTTTAATGCGCGGCTCCCCACGCTTCCCAGGGCTGCCCGGAGCCGTCCGAAGCCGAGCGCGGAGCCCGTCCCTGCGCGCACCCTGGAGTAGGGCGCGTCCCAGCACCGCTAGAAGAGAAAAATCAGTGCTTCGGCCTGGGGGAAAAGCGGTCTCCCAGCGGAACTCCGCTTTATACACCCGCAACCACACACCCTCAAACACCCGCACGCGAGCCGAGCGCTGGCCGCGAGGGTCACCCACCCCCGCCACGTGCTTCCCGATGGCCAGAACGAATAGGGACCTGTTGGTTTGTCTTCTCGCCCCACCTCCCCTCCCAGGAGCCCAAAACAAAGCAGTCCCTCGGGGTGGCCGCACCTCGCGTCCCGGGGCGCCGCAGGGAAAGCGGGCGCAGGTAGGAGCTGGCGCCAACGGCGCGCCTCCGGGGAAATACCACGCAGACGCTGGTGGGATGGGGTACAAGGGACTCCTCCGGGCTGTGTGAAGCGGCCCGCGTCGCTTCGCTACACCCAGTGGCTCTGAGGGTCAAGCAATCCTACCCCCAGCCGCTGCTGCACCTACAGTCCCGCTACCCCCGTATTAGATCTGCCCGCCCCGCTTGGCCACCTTCCTCATGCTTGGGATTTTCTCTCACTCTCCCTCGGTTCCACGCACCTGTGTAGCCTGAACCCCGACCCTGGGGTCGCCTCCGCGAACCGGAGCCCCGCAGGCCGCCGCACAGGCAAGATCATCCCCCCAAGATCAGCTAGCAGGGCGCCCCGCGCGCCCCCCGTCCCCGCCCCGGGAGATGCAAGCTGGGTGCAGGTGGTGCGGCGAGGAGGCCGCGGGCCCGCCCTTTGTTGGTAAACACCGCACGGCGCCAGAAGCCGCCCCGCGCCCCCCACGCCGCGCCCAGTCCTTACCCGCGCACAGCGATCCCCAGAGGAGGGCGAGGGCCGCCCAGGGCGCCGTCATGTTCCGCGGCGCCGCCCCGCGGACACCCGGAGCCCGCGGGCAGTGCCGCGCGGCGCTCCCGGGGCGCGCAGGGCCCGGCGGCGGCTGCGCTCTTCTTCCCGCTCCTTCCTTCGGTCTTGTTCCCCGCGCGCTTCCCAAGCCTTCGTCCCGGGGCAGCGTGCAGGCTCCAAGGGCCGGACGGCGGGGCCGGGCTCAGGGCCACTGCGGGCGACGCAGGCTTCGGCCCGGGGTCCGGGGCGACGCGGGGGCCGGGGGGCGGCGGCGGGGCGCAGGCCGGGGCGCGCCCGACTCAGGC